ATTTTATTGCATACCATATTAAGGTTTATTTTTACTATATACACAACCCTTTACAACTTCCTTAAGTTCCATGCTACTAATAGAACAAGTAACATAATCCCACCATATTTTCTCAATGGTTGACGTCAATAGACACCAGAGATTACCAGTTTAGTTTTGTCACAATCCTAGCCCATAGATGAATCCTACTGTGTAAGTGTCTGTTTACGTCAATATATAATAGCACCTACCGGTAGTAATTTCGTTGACACCATGAATGGTGTATTTTAACATGCTCTTTGCATATATGCGGTGTGATCATTCTGCTCTAATATTCTGATATTTATTCAAATTCACTAGAATTCTTTAAATAGCAACAGATTTTTTTTAGGAGACTACCTTGCTAATATAAACAATGAAAACACGTTTGGAAGTTGTCACATCAGCTACTATTTGCATTTTCAAACTGTCCTGTATTCTGTCGCACAATGGAGATACGAACATTATGCATGTAATAAGGTTATGTAATTACTGTGTTTTGTTAATTTCTTATTCACAAATTAGGGTTAGGGTTTTGGGAGGAATAATGCACTGTGTATTGACAACAATATTCTTTATTTTATTTCTATACTGTACACAACAACTGACCTGATAAGACAAATAATTTACAGTTTATTAAAAAGTTATTCGAAATGCATGCACATGATGGTGAGTTTGTCATAAGGGACCATTAAAATTTCTGTGTTCTATGTTAAAGTTGCTCAATTGAACTTGTTTTTGGAAAATTTTGTTTATGTTTAGACAATCTGAGTTTTGTTTTTTTGACATCATTAAACTTAATCAGGGGTTAATTCATGAAGGAAATATTTGTTACGTGTTATTTTTATCACTAGAACCACACTCTTGAGCACACCTATTCTACACAAAGACCATAAACTCAAAGACATATGCAAAGTTCAGATAATTTATTTGGTCATAAATAACGCTAGCAAAATAGAAACAGATACAATGTAACTATATCAAAACATATTTGCACTCATTTGAACATTCAATTTGTCTTTATTCAAGGTAAATAAATTATATACTTTTACGTGTTCAAGAATTGAATGCCACATTAGAACACTTTCCTTTGTTTACAGTGGTCGAGGAACTTTATATCGCATGATGGAAATAGAAACCACATTACTGAATATGACAATTTGCATAGCACAAAACATTTTCGTGGTTTTTATCTCTCATTAAATTATTAATACAAGCAAAAAAAAGATGTATAATAATAAGGTTATCATGAGAATACCGCAAAGTATGCACTCAGGCAGTACAGGAATGCATCAATTGACTGGTATGATTGCTGTACTGCCTTCATGCATATCTTGCGATGAATATTTCAATATGTTTCAAAGTAGTGATTGTTTCTGAATTTAATTTTAATGTTGGTTTAGATCGCTAACAGAAATGGTCTGTAGAATTTCTGTTTTTTCTATTTCTATTTAATTTTTTTGGGAGGGGCTTTCAACAACCCTGTGCTAATTTTGTGAAAATATGCTATATTTTTGGGCAAACAGATTATGTTTTTTCCATTCTACTGATTTCTACATAATTATATGTTATGTGATAAAAAGGATGTGATATGATGACATTTAATCATAAAACTGTAAATACTCACGATGTGGCTGAAGACACGTACCTGTGTCTGTGTTCCTTTCTTTGTCTGATAACTGTGGATCTGAGACTGACTTGCTGGGTGAACATCCCATCATGCATCTCACCACAATGCCTGTGGAATGAGGTAACCTTCTACTTCACTCTGTTTTGTCACGTTCTGCTGAAAACAGAAATGAGAAAGAAATTAAGAAATAAATAATTGATTTGTCAGATACATAATGTCTGCACCGTTTTTTGCAGACATCTTGAAATTCACTACAAACACTGAAGTAGGCAGCTTCACCCCACACAGTAATACCACCTGACAATGACTCTCATCCACAACAACAGTTTGAACAGACCATTAGCAATACAATCAGTGCAAGAAATAACTCAATTTCTTACTGCATAAAATACGTGTAAATCTACACTGCTATCAAGGTAGTGAAATGTACAAAGCTTTGAAAAGTGTTCACTGGTTTCAGGAAAGTGCTTTGTACCTTACGTGCAATTAAATTAAACCAACTTTGTTGATCATTATACCTGGCTCTTTGCAGTGCATTATGCTGGGCGCTGTATATGTTTTAGTATCTGATCTGTTTGGATTCAGGTTTCAGAATGAGTATACAACTATACAGCCACAGCCAGCCAGGTGTAAAACTCAAGTAATGGCGGCAATCTGAGACATACATGTACTAGTATACCATAAAGCGATAACACTGCTCAATTAAGTCCAGGAAAAACACTAGTCTAGTGAGTTTTTTTTGAGGTTACATGGAAGAGAACTCTAACTGGTACCGGGTAATTCTGTTTAACATGATTAAAACTATACTAATCAGTGTAGTGAAAACATGTTGACATCATCTTGATTACAGGCATGGTAGAAGGTAATGAATAATTGAATAACTGTATGCATGTACATGTATTGTGGACATAAATAATTTATTATTCACAGATCAGATTTTTCCCGAAAAGCGATTTCCGCGATCAGAAACTATCAAGGGAATTTTTTTTTTTTTTTTTTTTTGAGTGATTGACTTTGGAATTCCCCCACCACCCCTTGAGTATACATATACTAATCTGCACTGGGTATTTTTATTCTACCATATTAGGAAACGCAAATTCCAAATATGGATAATATTAAAAACAAACATGGCTGCTCCCAGGGTTGACTAGACTCCACACAAAGAAGTTCGCTAAATCAATTCTAAACGTTTTGGATTTTGACATTCCCATGATGTATCCCTGGGTGGAAATAGGGTTGAATGATGCTGCGCATCGCTGTACTGTCTTCGTGCATACTTTACAGTATCCTCGTAATAACCTCATATTCATATTTTATAACCTGTACTACATCACACAAATAGACCATTTTTCGTTTACTGCATAATCCAACATTATGCGTGGAATCGAACGTAAAAACAGACGAAGGTCATAGCATCATAGCGACATCAAAATTTTGTATGAATTTCGACAAACGCAAAACTATTTTTTGCTCATGTCCACGCCTAATAATGTGCTATACACATTTAATGATGGTTAATTTTAAATTTTGATTGTCACAGGGCGTAAAACTGCTACAATCAAAGAAATACTAAACCTTGGATTGTTCATTATGAAGAATTCCTTTTTCAGATGTCATTCAAATAAACATTTTCAATATTCAGCAGAAACCAATGTTTCGTGTTTCTATGCATACAATAAACTTATAACAAAAGAAGCCGATCGATTCGTACATCTCATGTCCTTGTCTTATTGCATTTCCAAGCAAACGAAAATTACAATGCAGCAGCCAAAAACGACTGATTTTCGCACAAACTTACATGTTTTTTTTTATAAGAACATGAATTCAGTCCAGTAGTCAGATATATTTATTTATCTATCAGAGATGCCTGGAAGCAAATATTCATGATGCAAATCATTTTGGTGATGAAACATCTGCGGTAACAGCCAAGAGGTTGAGAAACTAAATTTCAAAAAGATATTTTATATAGAGTACAAGCCACTTCGCGATGAGCGTCTTTTGCGGTCAGTAATATTTACGAACATTTTTGTTCACTATCCGCTCCGCTAGGTTTGTCCTTAAAATCAATTAATTTTGTGTGTCTGATTTCCAGTGTTTTCACGTATTAATTCTTCTGTCATCTTTTGGCTTGGCCCATTTCCCTTAAACTTGGCAGGCGACACTAGTTATTAGGTGAAATCTGAAAAAAAACTGTTTTTTTTTTTTTTTTTGATAGCTTAGTGCCAAATGTATCTTCTCCTACAAATTTAGGATAACACTTCTCATACATAGCTCATTCTACTCAGCTTGAGTGTGGGCACAAAGTTACTATTTGAATTTATGATATCTTTTTTAGTCCCCGTTCAGACGCAGTCCAAAAACAGGGACTTATGTTTTGACCTCCGTGTGTCCGTGCGTGTGTGCGTCTGTGCGTGCATGCGTCTGTGCATGCGTCCGGACCTGTATCTTAGAAATGCCTGGACCAATCACAATCAAACTTCACACATACATGATATTATACATATGCACGTCAATTTGTTTCACGATTTGATTCAAGATGGCCGAATGGCGGCCATTTTTGTGCTAAAAATCATCAAAATCAAGCATTTCTCGGCTGTTTACAGATGGATTTTGTTCAAACTTGATATATACATTAAACATTATAGGACCTTGATGCACATCAATTTGTTTTACGATCTGATTCAATATGGCCGAATGGCGACCATTTTTGTGCTGAAAAATCCTAAAAATCAACCATTTCTCGGCTGTTTACAGATGGATTTTGTTCAAACTTGGTATATACATTAGACATTATGGAACCTTGATGCAAATAATTTTGTTTTTCAGATAAGATTCAAAATGTTGTATTAATGAATGTGGTTCTCATTCCATATGTCTGACTTGCTTTCACTGAATATGTTCAAATTTTAAATATTCATTATACATCATGTCATAGATAGACAGATATATTGGTTTGACGATCCTATTCAAAATGGCCAAATGGTGGCCTTTTTGTGCTAAACAATCATCAAATATCAAGCATTTATGGCATTTCTGGATGAATTCCGTTCAAACTTGGTTCATATATTAGACATTACAGGTTCCTGATGAACATCATTTATTTTTCAGATCGGATTCAAAATGGCTGTCTGGCGGCCATTTGGTTTTAATGAATGGGCTTCTAGACCCATATCCTATTCAAAATGGCCGAATGGTGGCCATTTTTGTGCTAAAAAAATCATCAAATATCAAGCATTTATTCGTTCAAACTTGGTACATACATTATCCATTACGGGTTCATGATGCTCGTCATTGTATTTTTCAGATTAGATTCGAAATGGCTGACTGGCGGCCATTTTGTTTTAATGATTGGGCTTCTAGAGCCATATCTCTTAAATGCTATGACTTATTATATTTAAATTTTATATATTTGTTACACATCATGTTATATATATACATGTATTCAAAATGGCTGATTTTGAATGCTGTTCCAGAGCAATATCTCTCAATATGGACAAGTACTTGTTTGACGATCAGATACAAATGTCAATCATTTTATTGTTAAAAAATCATATTCCTGACATGGTTATATTCCAGCTATATTACTATAAACAAAACTATATATCTTAAATTTGATAACTAATGGGGACTGTGCCATGCATGGCTTGTTCATTACTGAGAAATTTGACTCTTCTGTGATTTTTTTGGCTAGGCCGATTTGGTTCAAACTTGGCAGGCAAGTCACACCTTCACTCTAGTTATTAAATAGGTTGTAAAATCTGAAAACAAACTCTGGTCCACCGTTTCCATGGCAACAGCAAAAAAAATGATTTTTTTTGAATACCTTCGCGCCAAATGTATCTCATCCTACAATTCTAGGATTACTCAGTCTGAGTGCGGGCATACATTTACTAGTTGTTTTATGTCTATTTTCATTACCGAGAAACTTGACCTCAAAGTTGGGGTAACTGTTCACCAGCGGCTTTTAACTGCTCTGTTGTTTTTTGGCTTGGCTGATTTTGTTCATACTTGACAGGCAGGTCGTACTGTCACTAATTGAAAAAAAAATTCTCGCTCACCACTGCCATGGCAACAGCCAACAGCTGATTTTTTAATACTTTCGTCCCAAAACCAAAATTATTACCTTCCACCAGTCTTGTAACAGCAGTGTTAATACGATCATGTTTTTGTTTTTTTTATTTTGGCTACGTTGCACACTGGTAAGAGATCACCGGCGCCAACATTGTTACACTATGCCAACGTAATCCCAACACAACTTTGAACTATAAATAAACTGTAAATGCCGCCTTCAATCTAGAAAATACTATCGCAAAACGGTTGGAAATAATAAATTTAACAGCAGATTACGTCCTAGCAACAAAATAAAGTGACTTGTAAGGACTGAGCGTTTTTTGCGAACTTCGTATACGGGGCCCGGTTTTAGTTATAAACCGACGTTAGCTTCACGTTCATGTCCTACCATGGCAACAGCCGAAAACATGATCGCCAACCAGCCTACTGGCTTGTTTTATAAACTGGCTTGGCAATTCCCATCACCAATTAGACCATGTCACAGCATTTCGGCTACTTTTCCAACAAATCCAAAATCACTCAATAATTTGTTTACTTTACATTTGCACTATGATTACATTTGAAGTTACGATAATTTTAATGCGTACATATACACTCACAAAAAATACACCAAAATAAGAGAAATTAGGATATAGCCTTGACAAAAAAGCATTATTTTTCCTTGACTTAATATGACATTTTTTTCTATCTGTGTAACTTCATGTGGAAATCCTGATGAGATTTAAAGTTCAGTTCACAACTAACGGTTTTGCAATATTAGAGGCTGTGAACTTGTCCATGGAGGCTGCAAATTAACAAATATTGACATTTATTTTTTGTATTTACATTTGCATTTCAACAGTATCTTTTTCTTACTGGTGTGGCTACAGTGACCGTGTAGTATTTTTGTTTTGTCGATTGTTGCCAGTTGTTTGTTTTGTGTTCTTGGAATTTTGTACAAAAAACGGTTAAATAGGTATGTTATTTCCATTTTGCAGTATATCGTAGACAGTACTTGTATACTTTGTTATCCAGCATAAATATCAGATTGTTCGGAAGCATGAGATTGTAATGTAAATTTTATTCATTATTGTTGTAAGATGATG